AAGCAGAGAAAACGTGTGAAAAAAATCGCCCCGTGGCTACAGATCTCTTCACTGCAATATCAGAATACTCATATGTGTAAATAAATGACAAATCCTTTACTTTTAAAAAAGATGTTTAAAAGGCAGCTTAAAAATTGCTCAAACATAAACCCATTTCTCTGCGAGAGAAGAACTGTGGTTATTACCCGTAATGTATTCCAGAACATTTTCCTGGGATTGTAAAGCACCTGGCAAAGTTATTTCACTTCTGATTGTTATCAGCAGAATGAGGCTCAGCTTTATCAAACAAAGCACTGAGCAAAATATTTGCATTAATTCAATTTGCAGGTTGTCATACGACGCCCTGAATCAGAGCACGGACCAGGTCACAAAGAGCAGCATGCAGATAAGAGAATCTCTTCAGCAGATTCTGTGCTTTTCAGGCTGATTTTGTGCTGTATGTTGATTCTTGTAAGCGTTACTTTGATGCAGCTCGCTTAGCAGAGTTGAAGATCTGTTGTTACTTTGTGCTGAGCTGCAGGAGCGTGGCATGAAGTTTTCAGAGGAGCATCCTGACAGTGATACAGGATGGAAGTCGTGTGCCAGAAGAGAGCTGAGTTTAAGACTGCTTGGAAATATTGCCTGCTTTAACCAGGGAAAAGATACGGAGTGCCGGATCACTGAACGGCAAAGCTGCTTCTTACAGTCACTGTATTCACTCTGCTCTGAAATCTGAAACTTTTTTTTAACTAAATTAGAAATGGTAAAAATCAGTAGAGATAAGTCCTAGGCACTGGAATGGACCGAAGGGTCTGAGGGAGAGTTATGTATGCTTGCCATCACCCAGGCACAACTTTGAATTGTCTGCATCGCGGAGCAGTGTCAGGTCCTTGCAGGAGCTCTGGTTACATCAGAGATGCACTGCAGAATTCAAAATGCTGCAGAGGACACAGGAGAGGGAGAGAACAGAACTTGAGGTGGAATTCTAGGATGTTACTTATGATTTCTATTTCCTTACTTCAGAAGAGCATCTTTAATAATTCTTTCCTCACTGTCTAGGAGTCTGGCACCCTTCCTGACTTTCTGCTGAAAGAGAGGGCATCATCCAATTTTTTCACCAGACATAATGGATAAGAATATCATCTTGAGCAAGAGAGATTTTTGAGAAGATGTTACATCTTGATTCACACACCCCGCTCCATTTCAGTCACCAGGAGCCCTTGCTGGGGGCAGTTCTGGAAGTCAGAACTATGATTGGGGTTGTGTGACGTGGTAAGAGTCAGCTCTTGCCCCACTGAGCTGTAAATAAAGTACAGCAGAAGGAAAGAAGCTCAGGGAAGTGATTTATCCAGGAGGAGCATGTCTGATAGGCGAGGCAGCTGGAAGGGAGAGCTGGGATTCACAAACTCCCAAGCATTCAGAAGGTGGAATGCTATCTCAGGAGGCAGGGCTGTATCTCCGGGCCCTGCTTTACCAAAGCAGTTTTATCTAAAGATTTTACTATTGTAGCACAACCTTGAAGTTCCTTGTTTAATTGTTAATGTTGGGAAAATTGTCGCTATAGGGTAACGTGTTTTTCTGACCTTATATTAGTGTGTTGTCTTTAATTCTCAATGAATCTCTTACAGCTAACCCAAAGTCATCAGCCTGCAGAATATGAGTAAGGCAGTTTGAGCATTTTTCAAGCTGATAAGCAAAAAACAAACAAAAAAAAAAACAAAAAAAAAAAACAAAAAACACACAAAGAAAACAACAACAGAAAAAAACCACAACCCTTTCAAGTGTCAGATCTGTCTCTTCTTAAAGGAGTGCTGATCATCATCACATACAAGTGCCTTTGAAAGGAAGACAAGAAGCATACAAAGAAATGTGTGGCTTTATTTATCTCTGTGATCCCTTTAATCAGACCATATATGGGCTCTTATTTTCTTCTTCTCTCTTAGGTATAAAGCTTGGTGTCTTGGAGGTAAAAGAACCACATAAATAACAAAGGTGCAGCATCAAATACTGTAGCTGCCTGCGTGGCTTCTGGGGGCTTCCAGTTCTGGCCATGAAAGGAGGAGGAGCCACCTCCTGTAACAGCAGTCATTCAGTGCCTTGCACAGGGGATTAATTAGCCCAATTTATTGTCTCACGCACATCAAGAAGCTGGAAGCAAAGAAAGAAGTAATTTTTTCCTTGCTCTGTTGTTTCACAGTTGATGCCTCAGGGTTGCAGTGTGTGACTGACATGCACGAACATTTACATCTCTCTCTGCCCATTTCTTCCCATTGTGTCAACAATGGATGTGGTAGGAAATCAAACCACTCACAGAGATGCGCTGCCTCTTCGTTTTTCCTGGCTGAGATTCAGAGGACAAGTTGCTGCTAACCAATATCATCTGGTATTACAGAAGGGAAACCTGTTAACTTAGCTCTCATTTACCCACAGTCTTCCATTAATCATAATCTTAATTCTCTTGAGGCAAGCCCTGCTTAGACATAGCTGAGGCAGAGGGAACAAACCTTGTTCCTAAACAAGATGGCTGTGTCTCTTGAGGAGAAGGCTATGTCAGGTAGTCCCATTTTTCCCGCATCAAACCTATGGCCTGAACTCCTGGCGGCATTCCTTCTACAGATGGGATCCTGGGAGTGCTTTGGTAGGAAACAGCTCTTAGGCCATTAGGAGAGCTTCGTGTGATGGGGCAGCATCAGGGTAATTACCAGGCCAGCTGTTCCCTTCTCCCCCCGTTCGGCGGGTGCTGCCTGACCCTGCTGCCATTCCTCTCAGATCCATTCACTGATCACAGGCTGCAGCTTTTCCAGGGGGCAGTGGGCACAGTGCCACAGTATGCTGTGATGCTCACTGATAATCCCGGCATTGGCCAGGATTTCCTACAGTATCACTTTTTAATATAGTTATGATTCATGTTAACATTTGTTTAGAAAGCAGGGCTTGCAGGTCAGCAGGCCTTTGCTTAGCCTTTTTTTGAGGCTAGTTGCAAGCTGCCATTGATGGGAAAATGATTTGAGTGCAGCCTGTGGGATTTCGTCAGTTCTGCACTCTCCCAAAGGAGTTTTAGGATTGCCCATTCCCTGCCATGGGGATTATTTCCAGACCCATAACTCTGAAGCAAAGGCAGAGCTACTCAGCACAAGCACAGGTAGGAGGCACCGAAGCCAAGCATGGTTTAGGTTTTTGCACAGAGTGTGGTAACTCTCCAAAGAGCTGTTCTGGAATCACCAGCTATAGATTACAGACACTGTGGGGCAGTGACAGAGCAAACCCCTTTGCTTACCTCAGGCCAGGAAATGTTCCACAGCTCTCGGGAGGTCTGAATCACATTGTGCCCTTTCTTGCATCGTCCCGTTGGCTTTGTCCTCCCACAGTCCCACCACAGGCCTTAGAGGTAAGTAAATGAATGGTCTCTGTTTGTACTCAGGAGTATAAACATGAAACATCAAGCAGTATCACTCCACCCAGAGCTCACCTGGGGACACGTGTTTGTAAGAGCTTGTAAGGAGCTGTTCCATTTACAGTAATCTCCTGGGAAGGTTTGGAGCACGACTGGGATAGCATTTTATTGAAAACATTATTTTAAGTCCCCATGCAGCAAGAAAGGCTTGTTGCTCTTAAACTGAGGTGCAGCTGTTTAAAGTATTTTGCTGTTGTGTATTGATGATTTTTTCTTTTGCAACAGGTATGTAACACCACTGATGTGAGTTATGATCCTCAGCTTCTGAGAACAGTTCTGTGTTTAAGGAAGTTGCTCTAGCAGGGATATACAGCCCCAGAGGGCAAAACAAAGAGGAGGTAAGTGCAGCCTGGAGAACAAAACTGTTCTGCTATTGAAGTGAATTAATTGTAATTTTTGTTATCTGCGGCTAGAAAGTCAGAGTATGTGTGTGTAACAAATATCTGCTCATCACTGTACAGTCCATGCAATGAATACGTACTGTAGTCACATGCAGTTCAGCAATTCCTTGCACTGAGTTGTGGCTGGCTGTGGAGATGAGCAACCCAGGAGTGGTACTGCACAGCTCTGTGCAAAGCTCTCAGACCGGCTGCTACATCACAGTGAGTTGGGCAGGTAGAGTTCAGTGTTCCCAGTATCTCTGATTTATACCCGTTACAACTTTGGGCTTAACACTGCTTTTGTGTGAGCAGAATTTTAACCTGATTTTCAAACTCATCAGAAGCATGTTTGGGTTTTGTATAATTACAGCCTATTACTGTGCACAGGGTGCTAATTGTAATTGCAGTAACATCCCAATATTTGTGCAGAAACTCTGTATTTCCAAACAATCTTTCGTAAGGCTTTAAGAAGTGAGTTGCCATGGCATTAAATATGCATAAACTCTATACAAATGTCATCATCAATAGAACTGTTTTTTCCAAATTTTTTTCTGTAAGGCCTTTTAGAGATTAGTCTTATACTGTTGTTTTTAAGTACTTAGTTAATTATAGCAAAATTGACTCTCAATTCTTACTATATACTTAATGAATGCAAAAATAATTAGGATTTTTATCTGTAATAGTTAAATTACAAAAAAAAAAGATAGGATTTTCTTTTCTACAAGACACACTTGAATGCTGTGTTCTTGTTGATACTACCATGATTTTTGCACATGCCACATGCAAGAACTATTCCTGTTTTCCCTCTGTACCTGCAGGAACTGAGATCACTGCATGTGAGACAGGGGAAGTTCCCTAATTTGACAAAAATGCCAGGCAGAGCCCCTGGATAAGGGAGTGGCCTTTGTGCGAGTCATTTCTCCCTGGCTGGACAAAAAGAGCCTCTCCAGAAAACTTTTCTGGCTGTATTCAGCCCCTGCTGTTTTTTTCCAGTTATTACATCAATCGTAAATGTTTTTTGAGCCTCAGTCACTGCGTTTGTTCCAAACTCAAAAACAACCACTAAATCCATGTATCTGGTTTTCATTCCAGAAGACACTCAATGAATAGCAAAGGGATGTGAAGTTATCTTCCAAGATGACTCTTCTACCTGGAGAAAATTCTGATTATGACTATAGTGCCCTCAGCTGTGCTTCAGATGCTTCCTTCAACCACGCATTCTTCCCCGAAACAGAAAGCCTCAAGGGCGTCTTCTACCAAAGAGCCAAGCTAATTCACCCTGAAGAGGATCTCCTGAAAGGCTTTCACCCTGACGACAGGAAGCATCATATCATCATAAATGTAGGGGGCATTAAGTATTTGCTCCCGTGGACCACGCTTGATGAATTCCCATTGACACGCTTGGGACAACTGAAATTCTGCAACAATTTTGATGACATCCTAAACATCTGTGATGATTACGATGTGACGTGCAATGAGTTCTTTTTTGACCGCAACCCAGGAGCGTTCAGGACAATCCTGACCTTTTTGAGGGTTGGAAAGCTTCGGCTCCTGCGTGAGATGTGTGCGCTGTCTTTTCAAGAAGAGCTGCTCTACTGGGGAATTGAGGAAGACAACTTGGATTGGTGCTGTAAGAGGAGGTATCTGCAAAAAATGGAGGAGTTTACAGAAATAAATGAACGGGAGGATGACCTTATAGAAAATGAAACAACAGGTGAAACAGTAGAGGAAACAAAAGTTGGCTTGTGCATGAAAAAGTTGCAGGACATGGTAGAACGACCCCAGTCTGGCCTCCCTGGGAAGGTGTTTGCTTGTTTGTCTGTTTTATTTGTAACTATTACAGCAGTGAATTTGTCCATCAGCACCATGCCTGACCTGAGGGAGGAGGAGGATAAGGTAAGTTCCCTTTTCAGGTTAGAAAATGGTATGTGCTGGGAGGAGCAGAACAGCTACAAAGTCTGATGGTGTTGATTTGAATAGGGATTTTGCAGCTGCTATTGGATGGAAAAAAATACACAAAGAATATTTGAAATCATATATGGCTGTGTTCAATTACCTGCAAAAGAATCAATCGTATCGAGTTCTATGTCCAAAGAAAACGTTGTTCCTGGGCATTTTTCTGTACATTCTTGTCTGTAATGCCTTGTTAAGCTTGCATTTGCTATTTAGGATGCTTGAAATTACCAAGCAATGTCTTCTGTGGAATAAGTAGTTCTTTTCTAAGATTTGCATTTAACTTGTTCCAATTTGTCATTGTGTTTTCCCATAGCAACAGCTTCAACTCCTTTAATATTTTGGGTTTTAAAAAGCCCACAAAACTCTCTTCCTGTCACTGCACCAACTAAAATAGTTATTATCCGAGTGCTGATTACAAACTCCTCCTCTTTCCTACAGGGTGAGTGTTCCCAGATGTGCTACAATATTTTCATTGTGGAGTCTGTCTGTGTGGCGTGGTTTTCACTGGAGTTCCTGCTGAGATTCATCCAGGCAAAGAGCAAGTTTGCATTTTTGAGGAGGCCGTTAACTCTGATCGACATAATAGCTATTTTGCCGTATTACATCACCTTGCTGGTAGACACCACTTCGGTGGGCTACAAGAAGCCCAGCTCTGGGAGCATCTACCTGGACAAAGTCGGTCTGGTCCTCCGAATACTCCGTGCCTTGAGGATTCTGTACGTCATGCGGCTGGCCAGGCACTCCCTGGGGCTGCAGACGCTGGGGCTGACCGCCCGCAGGTGCACCCGGGAGTTCGGGCTCCTGCTGCTCTTCCTCTGCGTGGCCATCGCACTGTTTGCACCGCTCCTGTACGTCATTGAGAATGAGATGGCGGACTCACAGGAGTTCACCAGCATCCCCGCGTGCTACTGGTGGGCTGTCATCACCATGACCACGGTAGGCTACGGAGATATGGTTCCCAGGAGCATTCCCGGCCAAGTGGTGGCGCTGAGCAGCATCCTGAGCGGCATCCTCCTCATGGCTTTCCCAGTCACTTCCATCTTCCACACGTTCTCGCGCTCCTACATTGAGCTGAAGCAGGAACAGGAAAGAATCATGTACAGGAGGGCACAGTTCTTATTAAAAACAAAGTCTCAGATAAGCAATGCATCACAGGGGAGTGATATTTTGTTCCCAAGTATCTCTACTGACAACAGGGCAATGAGTGACATTTAAGTTACTGTTTTTCCTCATATTGACTAACGTTTTGTTATATCAGATTCCATCTTTTACTTTGCTTTGGAAGCATTTTACAGAGGTTACCCTCATTTTGAAAGGAGGAAAAGGGGCTGTTAACCAGGAACTGATGTGGTTTAAGAAGTCTCCAGTTATGTTGTTTCTTCCCCCCAACCCTCCCAGTGTTACGCTCAGGACAGGGCTTTCGCAGAGATCACACAGTGGGTTTTTAGGGTTGAGAAGTTCTCTGACAAAAATAACGTATCATTCTGTACTCAAGAGGATGTTTTGTCTTTTGTACTGCACATTTTTTCCAACTGAATCACAATGTATATAATCATTAAGCAGGCTGTCATTTTTCTTGTATATAAATAATGTAAATACAACAAAATTAATGGCTAAATTCTCTCCCAGTAAAATGCCTTAGAGCATGATCGAAAAAACCGCAGAGGTTTGTCCCACTGTGCTGTTAAGGAACATAAAGTCAGATTCGTCATTCACAACAGCAGCCGTACATTTCTTTGTAAGTCAGCCCTAAACATGCCAGGAACAAAAAAAGAGCCGAGCTGTTTGTATCATAACCTCACTGAAGATGCAGATACTTAGAGCTCATCAGCTCCAAAATTTAAATGAAGTTACAGTATTGATCCTGTGTCATTGAATGCAGGATTCCAAGGAGCAGTCTTTTGAGTTCTGTAGCATTTAATATTATCAAGGGGACACTAGCTGCAAATGAAATGAAATATGCATGGTAAGATGCCAGTCGTTCCCTACCATCTGTTTCCATGTTTTTACTTTACCTCAGATATGAAACAGAATTAAGGGAGGCCTGTTTCCAGGGAACACCCTACCGTTGCTTGTCGAATCAATGTTGCAGCTACCCATTCACATTCAGCATTGGGTTCTTTAGAGGGAGCAGAAAATATGTGGTCGTGGGAAGTTGCCACTGATGACAAAAAAAAGAAGAAAATATCATTTGAGTCATGGAGCGGGGGGTGCTGACAGCTTTATCCTTTCCTGTCCTCAATCATGAGGGACTTAAGAGTCGATTAACTATACCTTTACCAACATTAAAGACATCATAGTAATGGAGAAAACTTCGAATAGGCTATGGAAATGCAGTTAAGGCCCTAAAGCACAACTGCATGATATTTCTCCACACAGGTTCCCCACTGACAACTGGGGCAGTACCTGGGAGCTCAGGTTTGGCACCTGCCCCTATGCAGAGAAGTGCCAGGCCTCCCCTTTGTTGTGGAGGGAATGAGACTGGTTTGCATAACAACAATTGCAGGAGACAAACTCCAGAACTTAAAAAAAAAAAAAAAAGTATGAAATCCACTTGTTTGACTTCGTGTGTGCTCAGACCTAAAGAAGACATAAACTCATGAATTACACTTTTTTTCCCCCCATTAACTGTTAGGAGGTAGGGAGATTTGAAAGTTCCCATCACATTTACTAATGCTTCTCTACGCCAGTTTGCAGAAGCCCTGTTGCTTACTGGCTTGGTTGATGGGAGTGCCAGCATGTATGATGGTTTGCTGCATTTGATGAGAGCCAAAAAACATAGAATTTGTTCCTCAGCCCAAGCTGGTTGGTCAAGCACTCCTTACACTGTTTTGTTTTTTTTTTCAAGTATCTTAAATAAAATTTGAAGGTGTTTTGCTACACTTATTTTTAAGGAATAATTCCCAAACTTTAAAAAGTGCACTTTACAAATAATTAGGGCTCTAAAAATCTGCTGCTGTAGAAAAATGTGCCTATGGAGCATTCCTACAGAGAGCTAACACACCCAGCATAAACTCTTGGCAATTAATTATGTGCCAGAGCTAAGAACATAACCAGCTTTTCACTCTTGTTCAGCTTTAATTAGAGTTGGATAAAAAACAGGAACATCGTGACAAAAAAAGGGACACATTTTCCATCCAAAATACTCTTAATTTCAAAAATGTTTGATCATCTGTAGCATTGGCTACAATACAAGTGCTGTATATCCTTCTCCTTCTGTGTCAGCATTCATTACAGAAAGAAGTGGTAATTAGACTGGTCCTGTGAGCAACAGTTGCATATCTCAGACTGCGTGCGACAGGCTGAGCTGTACGTTTGGAAGTGAGAAGGGAGAAATGGAGACTCATCAAATAAAACCTAACCTTATTTCCCTTTTCTTCTAGCTAACAAGTCCATCCATTTTTTCAGCGTCTCTACATTGAGCTCATGGTCATTTATTTCATGTGTCACTTTATTTTAATCCCAGAATTATAACTTGATTCTCAAGTCCTTGTCCAGAAAAAGAGAGATCGCCCTGAAGCTGGGTGTTGGTAGAGCAAACCTGTGACAGCATCCCTCCTGCTGGGAGCTCTGCCTGAGCCGGGAACAAATCAGCCTGGCAGGATGAACCCTTCTATAATTTTGTACTTGGCAGCACATCACTTGTAAGTGCATCAACATGTCTCACTATGAATCACTGTAACAAACTTGCTTCTGTTTTACACAAGGTAACGCATGCTGTAGTCCATATGCTAAATAAATCCAGATACACGTCTTAAGAGCACAACATTAGTATGAAACCCACATGCTGCGTTCTGGCTTTTACTGTGAAGGCGGAACATTTAAGGTGATTATGACTCTTTAGAGTACATTATCTGAGATTTTAGTCAAATTCGTGAAAATTATGGATCGATTCAAAAGCTGACTGTTTCCAGTGACACAGCTGACAGCTACCAAGTCAGCTATCACTCCTCTTTTGCATTTTAACAGCATGTGCAGTCAACAAGAAAGTTCCAATAAAAACACTTTGTGCTTTTATGAAGTCAAAAGAACGTTAGAATTCCCACTGACAGAGTGGTGCACGTCTCCAATAGAGATCAGCTTGCATTGCTATTTGCATTGACCTGCGTATACTGCAGAAGTACAGACAGTACAAATTCAACAGCAATAGCTGTATTAATTTCAAGTAATAAATTGTTAGGCTCTCCTTTCCTTTCCACGTGCTTCTTAAGGAGTGGAAGGAGTGTCACAAGTGCTATAGGCAGGCACCACCACCTGCAGGAGGTGAGAAGTGAGCAGCAGCCGAGGGAGGGTTTGGGCAATGAGCATCACCAGGTAAAGCACCCTGGCTTCAGAAAATTTAAAGCGTTTATCAGGAAATAAAATCACCTGAGTATAGAAAAAGCTGGGCAACCCTTAAATGAGGGCTGATGAGGGGTGGATCCTGGCTCCAGCCCTTCCATCACTCAGTACATTGCATGCAGCCGAGCTCCCTGGGCTGGCCCTGCCTTCCCACCAGGCGCTGCTTCAGGCCGTGACTCAGCATTTCTGCTACAGTGCTTTGGAGCATTGCACTTCTGTGACAGGTGGGGGTTTAGGGAAACTTCCCGTTAGTAGATACGTGGGACTTGTCTCCATTTGCTCCTTTATATTATTTCACTGCAATTCAGAACTGATTCCATACTCAGTGGTCTTAGTGGTGTCACTGAAGAGTCATAGGCTTTAGCAAGTCTGATTAAGCAACAACAGTTATGCAGAACTGAATCAAGAGTTTTCACGTTATCAAGATACACGTCTGGGAAGGAAAAGCAGCGTGCTGTATGCATTCATGACTTGTTTGGGTAGAACTTAACTGCACACAAATGGCTGATGCAAAAGCGAAACAAGTTTTGCTGCAGAAGGTTCTCATTCTTAGCGCTGCAGTTCTCTGTGTGCCTGTAACCAGAGTTCGTGGGAGTCTCTCAGTGGACAAAAGCTCACCCTTCAGTTTTCCTCCTTCGCACTGTAGACAGACTGAGCCAAAATTTGCGTTAGGCCCTTCCCAAAGTGCCTGAAGTCATGGCCTCATTGCCTGAAGCCCTAGATCACCATTGGCAGATTTGAAATCTTCCCAATTTTTATTTTTTAAATAATTTTTTTTAGAATGAGGCAGGTTCCTAATTCCGGTGTCTCATTTGCAGGTCAGTGTTAGGTCAGATGAACTGGAGCCGCATCCTTCAAATGCAGAGAACCGCCAATGCCCACCAGCACCAACTCTGTATTACTTATCCTTCCCACACCTCGTTCTTGACACGTGGCTATCAGGGAACAAGGAGTGGTACACAGAGCCTGGTCAAAGAGGCCACCTGGGCTGTCCAGGAGCAGTGTGAACCAGTGTCAGTGGCGAGCAGAGCGGTTCTTGGCAGTTCGTGCCTAAAATAGGCAGTTCTTCCCTACAATTGTTCTGTTCCCCACAGTTACTGACTTTTTTTCCTTTTGGCTTAGTTAAGAAAAAAAGACTTGTAAGTTAAAGCAAGAGGAAAGGAACAGACCCTTCTTGCAAGAAAGCTGTAAAACTTCACATTCTTCCCTTGGATCTACAACAGACTGAAAACTGGACTGGATACCCACAGTCCTACAGATGTAACTGACTGTGTTTAATCGGAAATTAAATGAAAAAGTGACAAATGTGACTCTGAAGACTGGGAGTCTTGAAGTCTCTGCTCATGCATCATTCAGTAGTATATATCCCAATTTTCTCTGCGTTAACAGTTGCTATTTCTTCCTTGTGCAAGATTTAACAGGAATTTAGTATTTATCCAAAAGATGAGAAGTGTACCAAAAATGCAGAAATAAAGCCCAGAGTGCAATGCCTTCTGAACTGGTGGAACGGTAGCATCCCCTGGGCCATCTAGAGAGCAGGACTGCAACCTGCAGAAAGCAGGCAGAACTGAAGGCATGGGCTAGATTTCACAACAGGGGATGAGCATCACTCCCAACAACAAAAATACACTCCAAAGGTTCTATTACTAGCCCAGAAAAACGCTTAACTCGAGATTTACCCACTCACTTACCACTTCCTCTGTGATATTTTAATAAGTCAAATTCAGTATTTCTAATGATCTCAGTGTTGCTAACATAGAAATGATTATTTAAAGGACTGGAAAGTGGAGATCAGTTCAGATCCCAAGTGCCACTCCAGTGAGGCACTTCAGCTCTGTGTGCGTTCTGTCTCATCTCGTGACATTAGAGTGTAAGTCCTCAGGACAGCGTTCCTCATTTGGGATCAGTCAGCAGGACTGTGTAAAAGCACACACCTCAAATAAAGATAAATTCACACCCCACAAATGAAGGAGATCATTGCCTGCACTGCACTGACAAACTTAAAATGGTCAGTTTGGCTTAATAATTATTAACAATAAAATCAGAGCTTCCTCCCTTTTTGCTTATTGTTTTTCTTTCTCATGTTCTAGCATCTCATATCTTCTGAAATAATCCCTAGAAATCACTGAAGGTATCATGGCTGCTATTAGTTCTGCCAAAGGCACAGCAAAGAAATAGCAGGTCTGTAGTATCAGAGGTTGCTTCTGCTCTGCCCAACGGAGCTTCTACTTTCTCTTTGCCTGTGGGAACTAATCCAGAAATAAACAGAAATAAACTTCTGCCATAACTGGGAACACAGCAGACCAGGTAGGGTAATTAGAGCGAATTTGCAAATATTTTGTAAATATTCGTTCATTATTCCTGCAGCCCTTGTGACAAGAGTCAAACAGCCTTGTGCAACTCTGAAGTCAGCTGGGGCACACAGACATGGCAGCACTGCCAAAGCGAGGTTTCAGGTGCTCCTTGATCAGGCATCCTTCTGAATATCTGTGGTTTTGTAGCCGTCTTTGTTATGCTCATAATGTTCTCTCCTGCTTACATTGTGCAGTCCACAAACAAGGCTTTAACTACAATGATTAGGCTGCCAAAGGTACTGACCAGGAAAAAAAGCACTTTCCAGACATCATCTGGTGGTTAGAGTTCAAAAAAAAACCAACAAGGCTGTTTGTTTCCAAAATTAGAGAGAGGTTTTACAGCTCCCCATCATCCCATCACGGTCAGCAAGGATAGTAATGTGTCTCTGGTCTGTACTGTGCTGCCATCTACGTGTTGTGCCTCCCACAGGAACTAAGTGGCGTGGGCTACCGTAAGTTTCCACAGGTAATTGCATTCAAAGTTTTGACACAGAGTTGCTGGATGATAAATGGAAGCAGTGCTGCTCATTAGCATTAGTGATGCACTTCACAGCACAAAGAAACTGAGCGTTATTCTCCAGGACTTTTATAGTGATAGCAGTTCTCAGGTCAGCCAAGGAAAAGATGACTCAGTCTCACTCAGAATTAGAAGCACATTTTGGGAAATGAAGAAAATCATCTGCAACCCTATATAATTAGAATTGTATTTAATTTTTGAGAGGAATGCTTCCGTGGATAATCTGAGTGGGGAGAATTAAGACAGGAAAGCACTGTATGGTACAATAACTGGGGAAAGTTATCTGTTTGTTAGGCAAAGATAGGGTCCACAAATTCAGTTTGGGTATCACAGGATGAAAACGAACATGATTTGATAAGAACAGAAAAGAAGCATCAGCATCAATAGTTGGCATCTTCCCTCCAGGATATGGGCTTTGGTATGCCCTGAAATCGCATCAATCGAACATTCCTCCTGAGGTGATCAGTGAAAACCTGTAGGAGGATTTTTTTCCCGCTGGCTCTTTGCTTCTCCTCTGACAGCAGAAACCCCGCCCACAGCGAAAGCACTTCGGGCACGAGACCACGAAGCATTTTTGCGTAGCTCTTGTATGCAAAGACAAAGTCTTCCCTGTCGACAAAAATGTACCGTTATTTGCCGTCTTTAAGTATGATTGGACTTCTAACACTAAAAGTTTTAGGACTCAAAAGGCGTACAGATGCATCGGTCAGCTCTCCAGATTACCGAGGAGCTGTAACTCCCACCCGCGTGTCAGCGCTGGGTTCCGAGAAGCGTTTCCGACGGTGCGGACGGCAGCGAGGGCCGTTCGAGGATCCGACATTGCCACCTTCGGGCCGCTCCTGGCAGCTCAGGCTGAGTGCCGGGCATCCGGCCCGGGAGCGGCAGCCCGCAGCACTCATCGTTAGGAAGATGTTAAAAATATTTGCACTGCATCTCACTCGACACAAACTGAGACATCGCTGGGTTTTTTTGCTATGGGAGGATCGACCCATATTTCTCAAACTTACAAAGTGTTTGTTAAAAATGCCATTGCTGTGTTATGCACAAAAGAGAAAAGAACTGCCACCGAGCATCAGCCTGTGGGCGGGCACAGGATTTAATACAGCAGATAGGAGGTGATCAATGAGAAGAGCACTCACATCTTTCTGGCCATCTACAGAGCTGGGAAAAGTTGCTGTAGATAAAGTTCAGGCCTGTAGATCCCAAATGTTGTCATTAGGATGTAAATTTGTAGCTCCATTTCACACAGGGTCATGTAAGGCCACACTTGCAGGGTCCTGTGCTCCCAGTGCCAGCTGTGAGCTCACATCCACCCTTCCTTGGAAGCACTTGGAAGATGTGGGGGACCCACTGAGACACTCCTTTGGTGGGGTGACTTTTCTCCTCAGAAAGGTTCCCTGGGGTCTAATGAAACTTGCATTTAGGAAGAGAAGGAGTTCCACAGTGGTGCTTGTAAACAAACAAAACAGCACCAAGGTGCTAATCCCCAGTCCGATATCCAAATACTAGCGACCTTGCCAGGTTCAGACTCTAAACTAAATGGCCCAACAGGACTATTTGGTTGTCTAGGGCTCTAAAAAAAAAATTTTAAAAATCTATTTCCAAAAGTCCACAAAAAGTCTAAAAGAAAGAACAATGCTGGAGCTTCCATGGATGCAACCGTGTTACCCTGTTCATTGTAGCAGTATGCATGGGCACATAGTGCACTGCCTATTAGTTGTGTGTAGGCAAATCTACGCCTCCACATATAATTTCAGAACATAATTTTGTGGGAAATTGTGTTAGTAGTGCTGTTTATGGCTCAAGAATCTTTGTCACCCTCCCTACTTATATACCCGCAGAGCTCACTGCAGAGAGAAAGAACAGGATAGGAAAAACAGGTAGGCATGAAGAACAGGAGGGATGCAGCCACAACAAATAAGAACGGTTTGTCTGTAATGTAATTGCTTACAGCTCAGCTCGCGAGTGCCTATCTTACCTTCCCAGATGGAGGTACCCTGCAGGCATCACAGCAACTGTGTATCATACGGAGCGATAGTAACAGGAAAGGTGCCCAGTGGAGAGGAATCTGCTGCTGTGAGTGACTGTTTGCTAGAACAAAACCCTTTGTAATGTCAGCAAAGGTGTGCAGAAAGGCTATCAGCCTCTTTCTGTTCTTGATCCACGGTAAATAAATCTTAAAACAGCCGTGTCACACAGACGACTTCAGAGCAGCACCTCTGATCAGAAAGCACCGGTTTCCCCAACAGCTCGAGGCGCAGCCTCACCCAAGGGAAAGCTCGACGCGCAGAAAGCTTCGATCTTCACCCAAAATACCCAGCACAGGCACAGCCCTGCTTTAGAGCAAAGCCTGCACAGCCCTGAGACGAACAGTATTGATCACAGCCATTAGTGGTATCTGAGATTAGCAAAAGGAAGACTAAAAGGAAGCCTGCTTGGTCTCTGCAGTGCTGTGGTGTGTCACAAAACTTCTCCCTCTGGCATTTTATCTGTCTCTGCAATATTCAGCACACAACAGCACCATGGTGTAATCATAAGGCAATCTCCATCAATGTCTGTAACCTGAGTCCCCGTCCATTATTCTTAGTCATTCTCATGTATTAATAGAACAGTGCTGTGGGCTTTTTTCTTAAAAGCATTGTACTTCGGTGCTGTCAGTACTTTTAGCCACAGTGTGGGGAAAAGGAAATAAGGAAATGTGGAGGGAATCTACAAAATGGTCGGTGTTTAGAAAGGCTTACTAAGGTTAGAATATGAAGCTGAAGCTTGTCACTGTGAAAACTAAAGAACTGATTGAGGCAACTGCATCTGAGAAATAATTACAAGAAACTCCATTTCATAACGGTGCTTTGGGTGGACTGCAGTACAGTACTAAAAACATTAATGGAGAAGGAAATTAACACTAATCAGGGCAGGAGATGAGAAGACAGCAGAACTTCGGGCAGAAAGCAAAGGAGAAAAGTTATGTTTGAAACTTTGTTTCAAAAGCAAAGTGTCAAAATTCATATATTGAGTGCATCAGCATTGCAGCAAAGCAACTCAAGGCGAACGCTGGAGTTCTGAGCGTCAAAAAAGCCATTGGTGCTCTCATCTGAAGCACAGAGCAGGCTCAAAACATTCAATTTTAATCAATTAATGATAAAAATGCACCTATCGAGTGCTCTGACAAGTTTCAGCCTGTATGCCTGTTACCACCCAAAGGTGCAGTAACAAAGCATGAACCAAGAGCAGTTCCACCAAATGGGTTTGAAATATGCATACCTTGGAAATGATTTCTGTAAGTTCTACCTAAAAACAATGGTTCTGTCACAAAGCATCTGAAATGTGACTGTGCCACGTGCTCTGCGTCTGTGCACGCATTAGAGCACATTTACAAAGTTACAAGTTTGTCCTTCCTAAATTTCAGACCTTTATGTCCCTAAGTTAGCAGTCCACCACTTAAAACAAGAGCTGCCTTTCACTGCTCATGAGCAGGTGAATGCCCGTTTGCATGAGACCTCATTTCCCAGCCAGATCTACAAGAAGAGCCATTTTGTATTTGGAAATAAGCTTTCTTTGCGAGTTGAGCTTTGGTCTCTTAGCAACAGCACGGGCACCTGCACGAAGACCAGCTCTTGGCACAGGAGGGGATTGGCCGGAGCAGCCACAGAACACCCACTGGAGGAAGAGATGAAGGCTTCCACAGCAAGAGCTGCAGTCAACACACTCTTCTGGGCCGCCCCAAAGCAGGGCTGCTGTTTGCCGCCACGCGGGCAGCCCAGCATCCCTTCCACTCACAGACAGCAAAAGCCCCTCCGTGTTTTCTCCTCGAGCAGGAACAGACAGTGACAAGCTCTTGCCAGAAGGTTAAAGAAAAGGCAAACTTCCATACTCTCAGAGGAGTCAACAACAAACAAGTTGTTCTTGCTTCTTGACACGGAGAACTGGAGCTCTGGGTCTCATAGTCTCAAACTGAGCTGCTCCTGAGGAGAGCAGTGCTCATGCATGGGCAGCAGAAAGGAAGAGCTGCAGCCGTGTGCATCATGGCCAGCACTCCTGTACCTCAGCAGAACATGTCTTCTTTCTGGCCACAGCTGTGGCTGGACTGTAGCTTTCAGTAGATACCTACACCTGGCACAAAATGGGTGTACTTCTGACTGGAAAACTTGCATTGCAGTAGACTAGCTTTATTGCAGCAGATAATTTTTATTACTTTCCTTTTTTGATGACTTTCACGACAGGTGCCATTTTGGATGGAAGTTGTTTTTTGCTCTTCACTACAATTTTACCACCTGCACAAAATACCAGCAGTGCAAGTATCTCACAGTACTTGTTCCATCACTTCTGCTACTGCACTTTCAGAGAGCTACAAGCAGCAGCAACAGTTGCTGCTTTTGTTATCTGAAATTTCTGCAGACAATGCCAGTTCGCTATTAGTAGGTTCACACATTTGCACTAAATATGCCTGTAGGGTTTATTTTTTAATTTGTATTACTTTTATTTTTTGTTGATTCTTCTTTTTATTTTAAACACTAAAGACAGGCATCAAAAAATCTGTCCCTACAGCACTGTATGGAACGCTAAGGTTCACAATCCAGTTTCATTACCACAGGAATGTTTCTGAGCTCTAGGCGCGGGTGTTTGCACAGCCTTGTCCTGACACATCAGGTCCACAAGCTCAGTTTTTTTTCCAGAGGAATCCACTTTGTTTAGTGGGGATTTGGATGCGGTACATGGAAAGCTCAGGTGAAGTCTATGAAATAAATGATGCTTTTGAAAGATCCTCTGAAAGATCACTGCTGTTATTTTTTTCTTGGAATACTGTAAGTACGATTGGATTACCCTGCTTCATGCCATTCTATTTCCCTGGTCTGTTTTCAAAAGAACTGTACATTTATATATGCACCTCAGCTCTTGCTATGGCAGAATTGCATCTGTTATGGCCTAAGGAATGGTTTGGTTTACAAACTCGCAGTGCCACCTAGCAAACATCCTTAAGAATTCATTTTTCTGGTATAATTTTATGAAGCACAGCACAGAGCTTTCATATTAAAATATATATATATATATATATATATAAAAATAAAGAAAGAAACTCGAGCTTGCAGTATTTCAAGCTTGCAGTGCAGTTTTGTTCTGAAGTTAGATTTTGACCCAAAATCATGCTTACAAACGGGATAATAATGAAGATGCTCACACAGCTAAAATTCCAGTACTTGAATTTTAAAAACTTGCTTTGGACACATCCCTTATAGATTTATCTACCAAACAGTCCCATTAATTTTTGTTTGAAATAACACATTTCAATATTAGGTGTGTCGAATCTGTTGGAGTTTTGAGACAAGTTTCCTGCCAAGAAAATAAGAAAGATTTTAGTTTATCAAGGCACATTAATGCTTTGCATTAAATACATTTTAGACTTATATGAAGGCTAGACCAGATTGATTTGCTGTGCCTTAAAGTGACCACATTTCAAGAGAAAACAAGTTTATGTATTTAAGTTTATTCCTGAATCCTGAAGCTATCCTGCAGACCTACATGTGGAAAACATTCAAACACAGTAATCAAGAACAAATGCTGCAGCCACTGTCTATTATTCTAAACCTCCAACAGGAAGCTGTTTCCTGCAGTTCCTGTGCCAACATCCTGTAAGCCACTTTAAAAGAGAATATGATCAAAAAGCAAAAAGAAGCCTCACAACATGAAGACTGGGAGATAAAAAGACACTCCGCTGGCTGCCCTGACCCCTTCTGGTAAGACATCAGACCAGCTGCACTGTAAGCTCCCTGAATAAAGCGGCTCATTTTTATTCATGATGACAACATGCATCAATATTTAGACAGTGCGTTGGCAGCAACACAAAATGAGAGTTTTACTGCTTCTCTTCAAACTTCTGAAGACATGCTATGACACTTCCTGGTGCAAAGAGAAATCACCACTTGTTTGCTGTGTTTGAGAAGAGTTCAACAAATAAATCAAGCCAGAATGAAAGGTAAGCTTCCAATAAGATTAATTTGAGCTTAATAATGATTCTCACTCTTGATTTTTCATATAATTTCCCAAGAGTCCAGCACCCCTTGAAGACAGTAAAATTTGCATAGTGCTCCAGCAAGCCCACACAGTTGGGCAGACAGCAACAAAGTCACACCAAACAGCAGGCTTTATTGTCAGCTCTTTTTTCTTTCACAGTTTGTGTAAATCCATCCCTAAGAATGTAATCAGGAAAAGACTATAAACATGATTACTATCTACTGGAAGCAGCACACATTATAACCAGTCTTCTTCTTCATCCTGTCCTCAAAAGCATCAGTGAAAAGATTGATATGTTCACTTTGTAAAGTAGGTGATATGGATGTTCCACAACTTATTTTGTTAAAATATGCTTTTTTGACTATTAATTATGTTAGTATTCTTTTTCACCTCAGAAATGAAAACAGAACCTACATCTGTATTAGTATAATTGCTATGAATACCTGATGAGGACTGTGGCAGCTCCCTGTTGTGAAACTATTTCTTATTAATTATCTATGAGAACTACTTAGACATACATAGCTTTTTATAACAAAATAATGCATTAGTCATTAAAAACAATCAATTATCACAGGCACAATTAAGCAATCATTCCAAGTGTTCACTTTAAATAAGAACAAAAAAATTTATTTCTTCCAATTTCCATGAATAGTTTTCAGATTTTTACATAAAAAAAATAATCAAGCCTCTATAAAAATACATAAACTTAAAAATATACTATTAAAAAGAGCATAGTATTTATATCTCATTTGACTCATGTGATACAGACGTTGCACAAAGAAAATTAAATTTTAGAGAATTTACTGTTAATATTCTTTTTTTTTTTAACATTTAAATTTTTAGTACTGAGGAAATGTTGGGTCAATTCTACTGGCCCAAGACATGAGCCCCCCTTTAATATCTTTAGCTGATAGAGGACCAAATCCTTTGACAGGTAACTCCTGCAGAATTCTTACAGCCTTCTGGGAGTCATTTCCTAATTTGCAAACAACATACACAGGAAAAGATGTTTGGCCATCAGTTCTCTGCTTTTCTTCACAAATTCTTTTCTCTAAGTATTCCAGATATTCTTCATCTTTTTCTTCTAACTTACTCAAAGGAATGTGGACAGCATGTTCCAGGCGACAGATATCCACTTCAACCTGCGGGCGAACATCTAGCAATACATGAGGAATTTGCTCATCCAACAGTTTTTTGTATTCCTCGACAGATATCCTGTCTTTACTGGACAACAGATGTAAAGTTCTACACTTGTCTGTTGCAGAAGAGCCACAAAATGCCTCATAATCCTGAAGGCAAGTGACAGATGGGTTGTCACCACAAACAGCACAGTCTGATCTCTTTGGTCTTAACTTGATGTTGCGAAACCGCCCCTCCTGGGCATCAAACATCAGCATGAACTGATTGAAGGAGGATCCCATCCCCGAAATGATCTTCAACACTTCCAAGGCCTGAATACATCCCACGATGCCCGGCACGACACCCAGCACTCCCCCATCCGCACAGTTAGTCACTGTCTCTGGTGGAGGTGGCTTGGGAAAAAGGCAGCGATAGCAGGGCCCTCCCTGGTAGTTGTACACGACCAGCTGCCCCTCCAGCCGGAGAGCACTGCCAGACACCAGGGGCTTCCCAGCCAGGACGCAGGCATCATTCACCAAGTACCTGGTGGGCACGTTGTCGGAGCAGTCGGCCACCACGTCGTACTGCCGCACCAGTTGCAAGGCGCTGCGCTGACTCAGAGCCCCGCAGTAGGGCACGTACTGCACCGTGGAGTTGAGCTGCCGCAAGGCCGCCGCGGCAGACGCGGCTTTGGGGAACCCCCGGCGGGCCTCCCCGTGCAGCACCTGCCGGTGCAAGTTGCTCGTCTCCACCACGTCATGATCCACCAGCCCCAGGCGGCCCACGCCGGCCGCGGCCAGGTACTGGGCGAGGGGGCAACCCAGGCCGCCGCAGCCCACCACGAGCACGGACGAGCGGGACAGCAGCAGCTGCCCCCGCACGCCCAGCTCAGGCAGCACCAGCTGCCGGCTGTACCGCAGGATATCGGCGGGAAGCAGCGCGGCGCGGGTGGGCAGCGGGGGGAGCTCAGCGGGGAAGGCGGCATCAGCGGCACCGGCACCCCGCTCAGTGGCTCCACCGCGCTCCCCCGCCAGTACGACAGCTAACTGCTCCCGCAAGTCACGCAGCTCCCGCTCCCGCTGCTCGATCTCAACGCTCAACCACACCGCCTCCGCGCCGCCAGCCATGTCTAAGGCGAAGAGCGGGCGGACCCAGTTTCCGCCTCCGGCCGGCGACTTCCGGCCCCGCCGGGAGAGCTGATTGGCTGCGCGGTGCCGGGAGGAGCCGAGCTGTGACATGGCGGCGCGCAGCGGCAATAAGTTCTCGGTGCTGCTGCCCACCTACAACGAGCGCGAGAACCTGCCGCTCGTCGTGTGGCTGCTGGTGCGCACGTTCCGCGAGAGGTACGGCCGGGCTGGTCGGCCTCTGCGAGCACGGTGTCGCAGCTGCGGTACGCACCGTAGCGTAGGCCGCTGTCTGCAAATCTCTTCGTGTTCTGTTTCACGCCGTGCGGAACGGTGGAGGGGAGGAAATCGGGTTCTCTGTGCGTCCGCTTACGAAGTGTTTCTGGTTTCAGTGGGACGGACTTCGAAATTATTGTCATAGATGATGGCAGCCCGGACGGGACGCAGCAGGTTGCCGAGCAGCTGGAGGCGATCTATGGGTCGGATAAAATCGTGAGTCGCACTTCTTGTCTTTCCTTCCCCGGGACGCACCGGCAGCCCCCGGCAGTGCGCGCCTCCCGCAGCAGCTCGCTGGCGCTCGGCGGGCGGGGCGGTGAAGGTGCGCGGCTGTCCGCGCCCAGCGCTCCTCCGGTGCTTAGCAATTCCTTTAAAGTAGTGGTGTTCAGAAGGCCTTTGTTTGGGTTCTTAACTGTACGCCTGGTGGTGCAACTTGAGGGAATCCTTTAATTGCAGGAATGATACTTTCAAATTTATTTTAATAGGATGAAATGAGAATAAAAGTAAGGAGCTTATTTCTAAATATGACATGACCTGTTTCATGTAATAGTTTGCTTTTCCTGTATTTTCCCTGATTAGTTTATTTTTATGTACCAACTAGATTTCTAAGAAGGAAAACAAGTTCCTCAAGTATTTTTTACACCTAAAAATGTAGAATTCAAAGGTGTCACAAAAGTAATTAAAATGTGTACTTCAATTAATAGATGATATATTTTTGTGTATCTTACAGCTTCTAAGACCCAGACCAAAGAAGTTGGGCCTTGGTAAGTCCTTGTTAATTCTAGTTTATAGTAAGTAAATAAATATGTAGTGCTTGTGGTGCTTCTGAATACGTCATTTGAGGTAGCAGCCCACCTATCAAGTCTTGTTTCTCTATGCATTGCCAGTGCAAGGTGTGACAAGGCCAACATTTAGAAAATCTAGTGCTGAAGTGATGGGGGAAAAATCCAGCTTTACCATTTGACTGTCGGCGTATCATTTTAGCAGTATTTAGTTATCATTTTCTGGTGAAACTTAACAATTTTAAAAAGAGAAAGCTGTGGCTAGAAGATTGCATATGCTAAAATACAGAAGGAAATTCTTTCTGTACTGTTTTCATCAGGCACTGCCTATATCCATGGGATGAAACACGCCACTGGGAATTTTATTGTTATTATGGATGCTGACCTATCTCACCACGTAAGTTGTATTTCACATGTAGGCTTTTTAATCTATTATAATAAAATTTTCCCTTATTTCTCCCCCTGAACTCCTTTCTCTTATCTGTTTTCTTTCTATTTCAGCCAAAATTTATTCCAGAGTTCATCAGGTGGGTGCTACTTCTAGTTTAAACATGTAGATGCTTACTGTTTTGTAGTAAGATTTGAAAGCTATCTAACTGTAGTAAGAACTGGTAAGAGCAACACCTCCAATACAAGTGATTGACATCACTAGGTTTGTTCCAAAATATCCAGGAAAAAGTTTCCCACTGGACTAAAAATTCCGAAGTTTAAACTAACAGAGAACGTGTGGTGCATCACTTTTCTTCCTTGTAATGGTTGTTAAGCTTAGAAAACTTCATTTATGCATACATATATATGAAAAGAATCATCTAATGCCAGTGATCTCCTTGTGTGAGTGCAGGAATATTGACCAGAGGACCAAGTTCACACTTACTTGTCTAATACTTCCCTCCTTCTGTTTACCTCTTACTTTCCTCTGCCTATAACACTTCAACTCATGAGAAACAGTAAACAGACTCAGGGTAGTTAAATACTTGTCAACTTTCTTGCTAAGTAGTACCAGAGGCTGAAAGTTACAGTTAGGCATGCTGTGTGCTAGGGGTAGTTCCAGATCTATTTTTTTCTCCTTACTGTGGGGTTGTGTAATTTAAATATTTAGATCAGATCTTAAAATCTGAAGACTATCCTAGCTTTGAAAATGCATAGGTACTGTATTTATAGCTAGTCTTTGAAATTGTTACATACTTTGAGATAGTTAATTGTTCTGCAATAAAGAACTATTTTTTAAATGCATAATGGTCATAACTTGTTTTGCTGTGTTCCCTATTTGTTTAAAAGTTTCTAAGTATGTTTTATACTGAGTGACCGTTTTCATTTTGAAATACTAACTTCATGCAAATGTTCTTCCCGCTCCTCTGATAAAAACCTATTCCTAACAGAAAGCAGAAAGAAGGCAATTTTGATATTGTGTCTGGAACAAGGTATAAAGGAAATGGAGGAGTATATGGCTGGGATTTGAAAAGAAAATTGATCAGGTTAGTATTTTTTCTAGACATTCGCACCTAAATTTGTGACTTAGAAATTAATAAGAGCTCCAAGTACGGCTCTCAAACAATATTTCTGTGTGAGTTGAACTGAGTCTTTAATAGTACTGAGTACTGCAAAATGGTGTGAAATGTGCATAGCTTGTATTCAATTAAAACCATCAGGAAAGAACTTAGCAATAAGTTAATGGCAAAACAGCTGGCTGATTCAATCTACAAATATGCAGAGTATCAATTTGGGACACTTCTCTCTCATCATCTGAAGAATGAGCTGAGACTATGGCACCTTTTCAAGTTTGCAAGATACGATTAGTTAGCTTTAAGATCTACAGTGGCCCCTTCTCTTAACAGTAAATTTTTCTAAATCCCTCTGTTGATACTCTGATTTGCCAGAAGTTAAGAATTGTCTAACATGATCAATGTCAATAAATCATTACTCGGACCTTACTGGAAATCTGCTGAAATGAGCACTAGGGAAATGTTTCACCCAGAAACCAGAGGCAAGCTGTGTCAAGGCCATCCAGGCAGGTGGAGGCTGGCATCTACTTGTGTAGGAGCTCACAGGTTTTGAGGAGCTAATCAGCTAGTTTGTTCTGCATCTTTTCTCCTCTACACAATTGAAGAGAATAAGTTAACACCTATTTCCTTGTTACTGTAAGGAGTTAGGAGCTGGAGTGCTGTTAGCGTAATCTGGAGATGGTGACATAGGGACAGTATCTGTATTTCTCCTTCTGTAATGGAATAACTGCTTATCTTTTTGTGAGTCTAAATAGAAGGCATACATCCCCCTGCTCCTCTTTTTTTTTTTTTTTTTTTTTTCTTAAGAGAAAATGAGAAAACAGTGGACATTACCAAGTAATCCTTGTACATCATGCTCTACAATGTGAAGCATGTGTGCATCTGATAGCATGTAGCTGTGAGCTACATGTCAGTTATGACTAAAGTTGTGACATTTTTTATAAGGAGAGTTCTTCCTCATTATACTATGAAAGCAGAGTAAGCTGAAATGAAACCTTGCTTTTCTGAATCTGGGTGTAATGTTTATCCAGGAAACATCTTTATTCTCTTGCAGTGAATGTTAAGGATAAAATGTAATTATGACTGTTGTCAGATTTGTTTTGTATTTTAATACAGTGTGTTGTTGCACTGACAGGTCTACTATAAGCAAGCATGCAGTAAACCTAATTTCTAACAATCTAAAAATCACTTTTCCTTCAATTTTTCAATAATATTAATCATTTAAACTTGAAAAACTTAATGTTGCTTTCACTTTAAGACAAGTATTCATTAATAAAATTTAGTGTGAAAACATATTAGAAATACCATTGTTTCACATTAAGCAATATGTATGTATATTTTTAAACTTATTTTCTGGAAACTGTGCTTGATTTTTCCTGAGTTGTGAATGGGCTGTTTTGACATTTGTTTCCTTCCACAGTCGTGGTGCCAATTTCATAACTCAGGTTTTGCTGAGGCCAGGTGCATCAGATTTAACAGGGAGTTTCAGGTATGGTATGCAAGTCATAAACTCTTTTTGAAATTAAGAAACTGCTGTAATAGGAACTGGAGTAAGAACAGGCCTTCTTTATTGAAGACTGTGACATCTGTTTGAGAAGGGTGTAAGAAATAGTAGACTACACTGCAGGAACTGTTGCTCCAATGATTTTGTTAATAATTTTTTTTAAATGATAATACGAGTGACTGATTTACTGTTAGGATTCATAAATGCAGGGTAATGATTTCTGAAGTTCAAACTTTGTTTCATTTCCTTTGTAATTGCTTTCAGGTTATACAGAAAAGAAGTCTTACAGAAATTAATGGAAAAATGTGTTTCTAAAGGCTACGTCTTCCAGATGGAAATGATTGTTCGGGCCAGACAGCTAGGATATACGATCGGAGAGGTATAGTAAAACTTCTGATAAGTGTGTTGTGCTTTCATTTAAATGCAGTTACAGCTTATGAGGACAGGCTGAGAGAACTGGGGCTCTTCAGCCTGGAGATGAGAAGGCTTTGAGGGGACCTTATAGTGGCCTTCCAGGACCGAGGGGGACCTGAAGGAAAGCTGGGGATGCCCTTTAGAAGGGCAGGTAGTGACAGGAGGATGGGAAATGGCTTTTAACTGGAAGAAAGGGAGATTTAGACTGAACATTAGGAAGAAGTTCTTCACTGTGAGGATGGGAGACACTGGAACAGGTTGCCCAATGAGGTTGTTGATGCCCTCTCCCTGGAAGCACTCAAGGCCAGGCTGGATGGGGCTGTGAGTAACCTGGTCTGTAGGGAGGTGTCCCCGGAACTAGGTGATCCTAAAGGTCTCTTCCAGCCCAAAGCTCTCTATGATTACTAGAAGCGTAGCAAATTCTGAACACCTCCAAGAATATGCAAGGTTTTCAAATTACTATGAAGTTACACAGGTTTTCCATCTTTTCCAGATGATTGCCACGTATGAAATTCCACTCACTTATTCCCTTGTCTGACAGGACCTTCCCTTT